CCTCTCGTTACCATCGCCGCTTTCGACGCTTTGCTGTCCCGTCTGCTCGTTGCCCTATCTACCACTGACGTATCGCTTTCGAGGTAGACGCGCTTCATCTGCTCGATTATACCGAGCTGTACCGGTGAGGAAACACGGCTTGTCGGTTTCATTGACTCGGTAATTTGTTCGGCGATCTGCTATAAGGATAGCATGTACAACCATTGGTTTATTAATTAATATTTCCTTTAATATTGAAGAAATTATGTTGAATCTGTTTCAGGTGTGATATCAGCTGGCGTCTCGGTGCCGGTACAGATCCCATCGCAAACCCCAGACTTGACCGGCAATTATTGGCCGAGGCTCCAGTGATCCCAGCTCTTCGGGTTCCCGCCCGCGAGCTTGCTCGTCGGGCAGGAGAGCCCGCCACCACCGACAGCCACCCCTGGTGCAGTGCCCCGGCCGCTTCTCGCGTCCCTTGGCATACCAACGCAGCCACCACCGCACCAACCATCGAACACGCCGGCTACCACTCCCGTGCACAACTCCGACACCAGTGAGTGAACCACCGATCAATCTCTCTGAACGCTCTCTTTCTCTAAATTTCGGAGATGATGGTTCTCGCGCGTACGGTTACTCGACGACGACGTCGCGTCGCGTACCATCGGTTCGTCGCCGTCCGACGAATCGTTCACCTCGATCACTGCGACAACGAAGACACGCGTCCGATGGTGAACCTAGGAGTGAGACACGAGATTCGTCATTCTAGTGCTTAACTTTCGAACGACGGTGACAGGGCCAACGTGACCCGCACCTTCGAAACGTGTAAAAAGGAAAATTTAGCAAATCATCAAGGATTCGGCTCCGTCATCCGAGGGTTAATATTATGGAAAAAGGTAAGATGGTATCAGTTGTGTCGCTTGTTCGATGATTTGGTTCGAATTATTAGTTTTATTTAGATTCTTCAGCAAAGAAACAAAATTGAGCGATTATTTTGCTTTCTACTTTATTTCATTTGTTTATTCCTGTTGCCGCAGCAGAGAAAAATATTTCCTGAATATAAGATTGCTTTATCGAATCAAATTTCTTATTAAAGGTGTTTCCGACTACTAAAAGTTGTTGTCGATAGCGGGAAGATTAAACGAATGGAGTTCAGAAACCTGTTAAAGAAACGATGCAACAGGAGTTTAAAAAAAAAAGAAAAAAGAGAAAGGAAGAAGCGTTAACGAGCCTGCTTTAATTCGATTAATTACTCTCTGGAAGTTCGCCAAATCTCACGAAACGAGCTGACACCACTGATCGCTACTTTCGCTGACCGAAAAACAACAGCACACCTGCGCTCAGAATTTACGATTATCGTTCCCTTGATTCGACCGAAACAAATCCGAATGGAACTTTAATTTTCTCCACCCTTGGTGCTTTTCATCGACGATAATCGCAAGTTCTGTCGTCGTTCGACGTGACGGAAAACAAACATCTCCGCGAATCTCAACGAATCTTCGACTCGCTAATTATGTGGATGTCATAGACGTATACGCATGACCCGGGTCACACAGGGTATATTATCCATCTGCTCACGACAGTGTACAAAAATCAAGATCACCTAAAACGTTCGTTAGACGATCCAACATGTGATTCTCACTCTATGTAAAAAGGAAATAAATGACTAATAAATGGCTAATAAATTGTTTTCCTTTTCGAATCGACAATTTGTAACGCTTTATCGAGCTCTCTCCTCGGCGCTTTCCTATACGCATGACAGCCGTGAATCGCGTGGAAATTTCGAGGGATTCGAAGACAGGGTAGGCGGGTTCCCGCTGCAAATATTCTCGCGAGACTTTGGGGTGGCTGGCAGCCTTTGTAAGAGAGGGAAGCGCGGGGATTGATAGCTGCCTGGAGGGTGGCTTTTTTCGCTGGCCGGCCATCACGCTTATTCGCAGATATGGCGTCGACTGACAATCTTCTTCGAACCTGAAACTTCGCTCTTCCTGAGTGCTCTGAACTTTTCTTTCCTCTGTTTAAGAATGACAAATTTGCCATAACTGTTTGCTTCGATATCACTCTAGATTTAACTCCTAATTATTTATTTCCAGCTACTGAGAAAATGAAAATTCATTCTAATAAATTTTGAACAATCATGAAAGAAAAATGAAGTGTTAATCGTTATCCAGTTGGATCGTCTTACGAACGGTGTTCAAGAGGCTGATGAATCCTCGCGTAATCCCATTAAAAGTCGACCCTCTTTCTCCCAGACTTCACGAACGGTTCAAAGATAGCATGGCTTTTTAGAAAAGCGTGTTTCTCTCGAGCTTCGCCTCGGAACTGATTTTCCATCAGCTACTCTCGTAAACACACTCGCACGTTGTACATTTTCCCCGGCACACAGACGATCGTAACATCCTTTGGTCCAACCCGCGCGATTCTAGATTAAGACAATCCAAACCGTAGCTGGTAACGAAAGGAAATACTCTCGCGTCGATCGTCGTTTGACGAGAAATTTCCGTGGAACGCGACGTTTCCGCGTTTCTCATCCGAGACGTTGAGAATTAAAAGCGTCAGACTGACGTTCGCGTCTTACGGAACAATGTAATCGTTGATTCAAATCGAGGAACAGTTTCGATTACGTCGCGACAATGATTGCCAAAAATAAATAATTTGGTAACACGCAGGCTGTACCTCTGTAACAGCCTCGTGACTAACGATCGAACCACGTTCCTTCGATCCTTTGTATAAAGACGATTGTAAAATAGCATTTGTTACTCTCCTTAGCTTGTATTGTACATTAGAAAGAATATCGTCGACACGCTGGTGTATATACGTGTAGGTAATAAGCGAAGACGGTAATTTCGGCACCGTTCGATCGTATCATTTCATAGAGATCGTACACTTGCAAACTCTCTTTGCCTGTATATTCGATGTTCTCCCTTGAACAACGTACTTACGAACAACTTTCACACGACGTTTAACACTTCGACTGTTACGACGGAGATTTACAGAAACTTCAGTACAATCAATTTTATTTTTTAACGAATCTAATTTATTTTCTTTCGTACGAATCATTTCGCAGTGAACGTGTTAAACGTGTGGCTCGAAAGTTGATACATTTATTCGCTCGTTCTTTCCAACACGGAGTCACTGTATGCCGCAAATATATCGCACGTTTCGCGCGTAGTTTCGAAACGAATTTTTAAACGACCAATCACAACGAACAAATTCGAAACATGAATTTTGAAACGAAATCCACTGAAGCTGGTTTGATTCGCTCCACGGAAATTGTATCAACAATTTCACGATACTTAAAGGATTGAAAACAAAAAAAATCGTTCGAAATATCTTTTTCTACGGTGTGAATCCAGTTTAGCACGGTGACGAAACGAGGGTTCAAAGTTTTCAGGAAAATGAATTTCCACGGCATCCGACCACAAATACACGTACACCGGGTATCGCGAAGGTGGAAAAAATTATGGTACAGGGTAATTTGATATATATATATATATATATATGCACTACCTCAGACAAGGCTTTTTACGCGATATAAAATTTCTAATTAATCGCATTAGCGTTAAAAGGAAAGGGAAAAACGGAGGTGACGGAAGAACGCAAGCGCGACCGCGAAAACCACTCGAGATTTTCGTCGGTCGAGTTGCATGTAACGCAAACACATACACACAAAGTTGGGTCGACTCGTCCGTTTGACGCAGTTCTTCGCGCGATAACGACCCCTGTATGAAAAGCGACGCGTGCTTCTCCCTCTGTTTTTCCCTCGGTTTGTTTCGTTTGACTACTCGCGCGCGACTCGTGCCCGCTGTTGTAGTCGATTAAACTCGGTCGCTGATTCGTACCTGATTCGAGAAACACGGCGTTTAAATCGGTGACTCCGATCCACTGAATCTCCCTCTCCTCTGTAGCAACCTGTCTATCCGTCATTCAACAGCTTTGTCGTCCCAGGACTCTTTGGACGCGTACAGACACGTGTTGCCTTACATTGTAACATATGCCGCATACTGTAACATATAATTGATTGTTTCGACTGTTCGTAAATGAAGCATAAGTGGATGAAATGAAATTTACGTTAATAGGTGTCTGTACGCGGTTTTAGATCACGCTTCTTTCCCCTCTTACGCCATGCGTACACATCCAGTCACAGCCATAACGTATATGAGTGTTACAGACAGCCAAGCAACCGTTTAATTAGATTTCGCGATTCGATCGCCGGTACACAGTTCGGAATGAGTTTTCGCGAATGAATGCTGACCAATCGCGTAAGGTCGCAGTGTAGATAAACAAACCATAACGATTTGTCCGCAATCGATAGGGTAATTAACGAACGATTGCGCGGAGTCCTGGTTTCCCGGAGACAAGACGGATGCATGGAAGAAAGAACGATGCGTTAATAAACGATGCTCGCCTCTTTCGCGAACCGTTGTCCCCTGACACGACAACGTTTCCTTGCGACGTCGACACCCGACAGCTGGTGTACCAATTCGTCTGAACGTTTTCTACGACGAACAGGAGAATTGTACTTGTACATTAGTAAATTTATATTTTTGGATGAACATGGGAAAAAAAAAGAACAATGCAACCACGTGGACGAACGTACCGCAATTAGAAGAAGAAATCTTTCGCGGATCCATACGAGCACACCATTTTGGCTTGCCACCATTTTGACTCTCCGTTGTCGAGAGGGTCTCGACATCGAGGTCGAATCCGCATAACGTGCCACTTCCGCGTTGACACCATCGTCGAGAACCAAAAATAATTCTCCTTTCAAGGCATGCTTCAAAATTCGCTTACTAATTTTTTTTCTTTCTTTGCAAACAATCGTTTCATTTCTATCGACTTCATTTGCGCACAATTCAGTCCGGGTATCTATCCAGGTTTTCCAATATTTTTCAGATATCATTTGATGACTTTATGCTTTAAAATTGTTGACAATTTTCCATATCGACCCGTGACGCGGAAGTGGTTACGCAAGTTTTCTTATTATCTGTAATAATAATACTAATAACGAATACAGTGTATGAGTATTAACAAATTTATTAATGAAAATAATATATTATTGCGATAGTAATCTACGTAAGTGTTGTGAATAATGAAGATAATATTGTTGCTGTGATTATCTTTAAGATTGTAAGTAGTAGGATATAGAACCACTGTTAGGTGTCACTGTCTCGATTCAATAAATGTTATTTCATTTTAATGACAATGCAAGATATCTGGATTCGTTCATAATAAAAACACCCTCGTAGTTCCTTTATCTATATGTGGTGCATACATTTATTTTAAACTTATATAAAACAGAGATTGGTTAAGGTAAATGTAATATTTACATATGTAAATATGTTGAATGTTTTCTGCCTCTATGGCTGCCACGATAGCCATGATAACTCTGACTAAAACTATTTAAAGTTGGTATGCTAGGTGCACTAGGCGCGGTAGGCTCGCCAAGTAAATGTGTTGTTTCCTCTGATTCCACATTTGAAGGCTGACATAAAATAGGCACTGAGAAACCCTTTAAACAACGCCAAATCGCTAGTAAAGTCCATAATACAATTAATGTTATGTCTGAAAATATAATGATGTTTCAGAAACCGTGAACGGTCATAAAATTATTTAAATATCATAACTAGTGAATTATCACAAGCGGTACCTTTGGATTGAACCGGAGGCTGGATAATGGCAAATCTGAAGTCAGAAACGGTACATCTTCGCGCAATATTTATGATGATGTATTTCAGAGCAGATCCAGTATAATAATCGAACGGTAAGATTATCATATAGGATCCAATTATGGCACAGCTCAGAAGGCCACGGGTGCACGAGTATAATATTAGTTTGATTATAGAAACGCTAACAGCAATAGTCGCAAACAATGCCCAAAAGGCTCCATCGCTTTGCGTGATTATAAAGGATTCTGAAAAAAAAATTTTAAGAAAATATCATGTCGCGTATCTTTTGTTGCTAAATAAATTTGTCATTAAATAACAAAAGAAAGAAACAAGCTTAGCCGATGTAGTTTCATCGAAAATTAATTCATCGTTAAGAGTTACCCCGCGTATGTACGAGCCCTCGTGCCTCTGTTGAGCGCACCAGGTTACATAAACCACGAGAACGTAATCAAACTATGCGAAAGACGCGACAGACAGCGAGTAGAGGGTGACCAAGTCGATCATCTGTCGACAGGGTAGATCGGGCCGATACTCTGTGCAGTTACGCATGCATAGACCATGTAATCTAAATAGGTCCCGAAGCTAAATAAATACGGGGACACAATTAGGTAAATGTGAATCTTCCAAGCTGGTTAGATCGCTTCGTGGGAGTTCGTGCAGGGGTTGGGGTTGGGAACAGTATACAAACGAGGAGTTTCTTTTCGTGTGCGTGACATATACGTGTGAGGGTGGTTGCCGCGTTATGGTGAGAAAGGTAGGAGGCAACGCGAATGCCCGTTGCTGTGCTCTACTGCATGGGGGGATTCGGCAAGCGAACTTTCCACATGAGCGAACAACATTGATAAAAGCTACAGGGGGACTCTCTGACCGTGCTTCATCCCTTCGCCAAACTCGAACTAACTTCGGGGGCGGTCGGCTCTGTCTCCCTTTTCTTTTCGCGTTACTCTTCTCTCCGCTTTTAAGCCGGCTTTCATTATTTTCCTATAATTTACTACAGCCCCTCTCTCTTTCCCCGGTCACGCATATAGAATTGCTTTATTTCCAGACACGCGTTCGCTAACGTTTCTTTCTTCCGTCTTACACGGATGTACCTGGGAAACGGAAATAGGCGACACAACCGAAAAACGATCCCAATGTGAGCACAAGCAATAGTCTGAAGACTAGAAAGTGTTGGCACAATCCATACACCGCTGCTATCACCAAGCCTATCACCCAACCGGCCGTAATGCTTTCTGAAACAAATGATACATATTCATAAGATGAACGTATTACCTTTACGGTACTGTTTAACATGCCCGGGATTAAGTATCTTATTTTTCTTTTACGAATCTGACTCTTGTTCTTAACGCATTACCTTATGCGCTATCATTTTATAATAAAAGTATGCTAAAAAAATAATTTATATAATGTGTTTTATAATAAAATATGACATTGCCTGTAATGTGTTAACAACAAAAGAGTAATGAAAACGAAGATTACGCGCTTACGTCCTGCGGCGATGTAACCGATCATCGTTGCAGTAAAGAATACCGGTACTGTTTTGTCGACTATAGGACATTTGTGCCCGCAGAAAACCGAAAACAGCCCTATGAAGAAACAGCAGGCGCAGACGAATTTCGAGTACGAATCATCTGAAAGAATTTTATCCGTCAGTTTAACGATCGTTTCGATACTTATGTAACGTGAAACATACTCAGAACTTGGCACGATTCTGGATCTCCTACAGGATTGCAGCCGTACGATAATGCTGGAACGTAAGCGGCGGAATATTTACCATAATTGGCCACTGCGACGTAAACCGAGCCAGTTCCGGTGTACGCGTTGAAAATTCGTCTCATCGGATTAGAAAGAACCGAACTCGTTATCTATTGCGAAATATTCTTCGTTGATTATACAAATGTATAGATATAAAAAAAATATTACAAAATGGTAATTGATCGCAATATACAAAAACAAAGCCTACTTGATTTATTTGAACTTTCATTGTCTTTTTTTTTTTTTATGATCATAAGTACAATTTGCGAATAGAGGAAAAATGGTGAAGTATACCTCCTGACCATGTTCCTTAATGCTGCTTGCGGTCAACATACTCGTGATGTACGAGAAATAAGTTTCAACAGATCTGTCCTGCTCAGGTAAAAATACCTGATACATTTCAAGTGTGACTGGACTTTTCTCACAGGTTTGTGCCGTGCCATTGATTAAGGGTAAGGAGGCTGCTTGCACGTCGACTACTATCATAGTGTCCGATGTAAGCACTTTTGCGTATGGTGCAATTTCGGTTTCGAACTCCATGTTGCATCCACCCGGTATGGGTGCTATAGTGAGAACAATTAACTAATGGACGAGGTTGCTCTGTTCTCTACTGATAGGAAATTTATTCACACGGGTTTGGAATTTATCCAGGATATATAAGGTATTTTGGAGGTAACATTTAAGTGGACGTTCAGGTGATATTTATTCGAAATTATCCGCGCTCTTGTTCATACGTTCATTCATAGATTTTCTATTTCGTTTGACAGCGAGAATGTATTCGTACGATCTTTATCCTAAATAGGATAACTTTGGAAGTTGATTATAGGAATTACATCGATTAAATATTTTCGAAATCTTAAGTGGTAGATAAACACTGAAGTTTGATAAGTTACAGGATGCGGGGGTGATTGTTGCATGATAAGATGAGTTTATTTTTATCGCTGATATGAAATTATCTAAATATCGACCTTCTTTATGAATGAAAATTAATAGACAAGAATCATCCAGAGATGTGTCATCGAAACAAATATTAAGCGTCTAATTCGAAAGTTCGTAAAGTCAAAGGAGAAAATCGTAAGACTTTATTTTAGTGAAATTCTGACAAAAAATATAAACGTACCGGAGTGAATACTCGCACATTAAATAGTAATTCAATAAATTAATTTAATTTCTATTAAAATTCAATAAATAGTCATTCATTTTGCCTATATTTCCGAATTGTATTCATTAATTATATTTAAAATATATGATTTACGTAAAAATAATTAGTACTCACCTTTATCATTGTAACCCATAATAACAAGCATGGCCTTTATAGCATAACTTTCCTCATTTTTGAAGAACAATGTTGATACTTTATTAAAAGTGGACTTGACGTAAAGGCCAATGTTTGATCCATATATGCTTGTTTTATAATTTGCATCATAAGATAATGTAACTGGATGCAGGTGAGCATGAATTTGAACAATGTAAAATGCAATATTGGAAGAAATGTTTGTTATACTCAAAGTTACATTACTACTGGGTGAAATGTATATTTGTTTGATGTATGGTATACTGTCACGTAGATTACGTAGATTTATCTCTAACACACTGTCATCTGTAAAATGTATTGTACATTACTTTCAAATATGTCATAAAATTAGTGTTGGCAATGATACATTCTATAACATTTAGATAATGTTACAAGATGTGCAAATCAGAAGTACTATACCATTAACCAATTAATAATGAAACAATTAAGATATTATATTGATTAGTAATAGACATTAAGTATATGAAAATGATATAAGTATGAAATGTGACTTGAAAATATTTAAGGAGACATATATAATACATTTTTATAAATTAATTTATATTTATAACCATCCTTCTTCATATTTATACAGTTATATATTTATCTTATGTTTGACCTTATTCCTAACAAGATACAAAATTTCAAATGTATGGTACACATACCACAAGGTGACCTTTAGAATTAAATAAATTCATACCTGATAAATTCAAAGTTCATAAGTTAGAAATTGATGTAAAAACCTTTGCAATAAAATTTTAACACAATTTATCATAAAATATCATTATATAATATATTAGAGTGAATAGAATTCAAATTCACATGAAACTTAAAATAGTTCATATCAAATACAAATGATTACAATAGATAAATAAACAAAAGCAACGCGAATAAAATTCCATTTCTGAATAATTTGAAACAAATACAAAACGATAGGTACATAACACTATTCAGATTGGCTTGTTCCATAACAGAAATCGGTTGCGTTTAAAATTAAACTACCACAGTATACGTTTACAGGAAAATAAATATCGTCAGAACGCGTATCGGTGTTTGAGGTTATGTGCTTACCATCGTAAACTTCTAATTTTTTCACCGCAGCTACGCAGCTAGCCAGTAGTAATAGAAAAATTAGTAGCTTTCTGACAAAACTGCGGTTCATGCTGATCAGAGTTACGAGCCGCGTGACACACTTATTCGATTAAATTGCCGCAAAGCCGAGTCGGCGTGAAGCTACGGAAAATCAGTACGGCGCAACAGCTGGTAGTTAACAGTCGGCTACATGCCTGAGCACGCTATACTTCGAGTCTCGACCGCGTTGTGCTCTATCCTGCTTGGGAGCATCGAAACGTCACTATCCTGGTCATTCCCCTTCTCTATCTCGCTGCCGTGTTTAGCCCGTGCTTCGCGAAATGATCGCGAGGTGGAGGCGCAGTCGGGCCAAGATGGCCACGCTGGATCAATGAAACGCGAGTAATCATAGTAAAAACAGAAATTGACAAGTGTGCAAGTGAACACCAGACTTTGATTACAGTGTAAATGGACCATGGGGAAGGATCAGGAGCTGCTAGAGGCAGCGAGAAGCGGAAATGTCACCGTGGTCGAGAAGATTTTGGGTCAACGAGCGAAGAGGAGTGGTCCACTGGCAAGGTGGGTGTCACCGTAAGCAGACTTTGCATTTCCCCGTTTCTTTTCCCTTTCTCGCATCCTATTTCACGCTCGTTTCGATAGCTATGATTTCATAACCTTTGTCTCCTTTCGATTATACGAAAAACGAACTGGTTGTCTGTCAATTCGTCGATTGGTCCAGTTACATAGGTTGTCCACGTTCGTTCTTGAATCGCGAGGGCAGCCGATTTCTGTTTCGTTGATAAAAGTGTTTATACGGTATTGACTGCCGTTCAGATTGGTCCCTTTCATCTCGTTTCCGAGCACTTCCGCGTTGGCTTGATTAACTGGCTACGGATAACCGTGTTTTAAGCATAAACCGAATCGAACGAGTCATTACGCGTACCGGTACCTGCGTTAAATTACCTACGCTCGATTGATCGCTACATTTTTGCAATTAATTCCGTCAGTTTGCCAGTTTCCGAGATACTGGATGCGTGTTCGCCGTTTGTACCGTTAATAGCACGAATCGTTCCATTGAATAGTTTTCATATTAATTAAGCAAAAGAATGTTGTTTTAAGCATGATAAATCATTCAATGTTATTCAATTCTCCTATATTTTGCCTGTACGTAAATATATATTTTTTATTCATGAACCATTTTTAATAGACACTCAATTCCACCTTCTCTAACCGGGTACATAATTGGATTCACGATACCCGTTTCATAAAACTTACCAACCGATGTGTTCTTCAACTTAGTTTGCCTATTATAATCAGCAATCTCATTTTTTGTTAATATACATTGCATAATTTTTGCGTGAAAATAAAGCTCGCCGAGCGTAATTTTCCGAGCGTAATCAGTTTTACTCTGAATATCTATAGGGAACACGTCCGTACATGTGTATGCGCATTATTGTCGAGCGATTATTCATGATTTTACCGTGACCATGAATCACCCTGCCTTGCATACGATATATGACGAAGATGCGTTGATATGGACACGCAACGATCCCACTATCAATTATTGAAATTTCTGCTCAACGTTTCAGCGGGACACGTTTAACCCGTGTTCGATGCACGTCTCGTAGCCGTGTCGTGTTTTACGTGTCTCTTTTAGACGCGTTTTAACGCAGCAGCCGTTTAATTGAATTCCCTCTGATAACCGATGAAAAATGAACGGGTCTCTGGTAGAGGCACGTAACGTCTTCACGACTTATCGGGTCCTGCTATTTTCTATTTATGGAAGCAGATAAAGAGGCTTATTTGGTGGGTAGCTATTTATTTTCAAGGGTCAACGATAAACCACTCTTGGACCTGATAAATCGTCGAAGACGACTTACAACCGAGACTGTGATACTTTTTTTTTTTTTAATTCCAATCTATTCTCTCAAAGAAGATATCCCTGTAAAACGTGAAATTAAAATTTACGTAACATTCTGTTACAACGTTTTGTATAAAAAACATAGTACTTAAACTGATAATTTAATCATTATCTACAGCGTGCGAGAACAGAGACTTCCGTGTTTCAACTCCAGTTCCAGAGCGTAAAAACTATCAGCCTAATAACTGAGTCATCCTTCCGAGTTAGCGTGGTTCTGTCTAAAAAAGTATCATTTGCATGCACGCATGTGCGCGGTAACAGCTTGAATCTATTCCACGTAACTTGTGGATCAATTCTCAGAGAAGATGATTGCTTGATAGAGTAACTCGAGGAATCTGCGCGCATCGAATTTAAACGAACGCGCGTCTCGACTCGATCGATAATCGTGTTGACCGTTCGAAACGGATCGATAATGCGGTACGGTAGGCGATTGATGGAAACGCTCGATCGTCCGGTGGCTTCTTTATTGACCCAGTCCCGCGAACTTGTCGACAAAGACGACTTTGTCGACGCCTCTCACGCTTCCATTAATTAAGTCACACCGGGTCGGATCGAGTCGGTTCGGAACGGGACGAATAGCTGCGCCGTTTGTTTTCGAGAGGGTTTGATGCTTGTGTGCCCGTGCATCGAGTGCATTCACGCATTTTAACACTGATTATCGTTCACCAGTAAAAACTGTCGAATAAAGAGAGAGGGAAAGAATAAGCGAAAGGGTGTTCGAGGCATAGGGTGCAACAGATGTAATTAAGCGAATTGTATCTGTAATAATATCAAATGATTTCTGTTTGCAGTAAGGCAAATTTCAGCTTCTATTGATATCGAATAATGGCTTTTGTTCTTTCTTGTAATTATCAAGGAGACAGATCGGTTAATTACTTGAACCGCAGCCTGCAGAAATGAAGAGAGGTGGCAAGAAGCGTTTTTCTCCCCATCCCTTTCGGTGCGAGCGAGTCGGGTTTGAGCACACGACAGATCCTAAATGTATCACGAGTAACCAGCTCCTCTTCTAACAAATTGCCTCTTTTACTCGTCACCAACCGTGCAACTTGTCCATAACTACAAAAGCATGCCCGCGGCAACTTTCAACCACCGATGCTCTTTACTCTCTTCTGCTCTCCTGCTCGTCTCTCGTCACCGAGGCCTCGAGATCGGCTCGTTTCGTCCTCTTCCACCAGCGTCAAAACTCTTGCTCTGTTCTCGTCGAGAGATCACAGGGAAGCAATATAAAACGACCACAGCAGCCAGCGGAGGGAAGAAATATTTTGCGATGCTAATCGCGAACTGGATGCTCGCCACTTTTCGTGTACCATTGCCCGCGAATGCGTTTATCCTTTGTTTGCGCGACGTGTTGACTTTCGGTCGGGCAATAATTTTAATCACGATCCTCGCGGGGTTACGAGAAAGGGCCCCTCTCATCTGAAAACGTCGCCTACGGCGTTCCGTGCTCCCGTGGACCAGAACTTTTAACGTCATCGGCTCACTATGATAACTTCGTCCTCTCTCTTTGATGTCCCCTGGGTACCGGCGGGCCCGTACCAATCTCCCTGAAAAAGAAGAATTCATTTTTTAATTTAAACTCCAGCATTCGTCGAAGTTCACGGTCGACACTACTCGGCTAATAATTCTTTCCCCTTTTTTGTTATTCTAATTTTTGTCCTATGCAGATTAATAATTTATCTGGATATACTATGTATTTTTTTGTAGGAGAGGGGAGAAAAAGGTGTTTCGGTCTCGGGATCGTCTGTCAGACTCGTCGGTGGGGCTGACAACAGACGATCCCTGTCCCAGACACCTATCACACCGCAATTCGGAACTTCTATATGTATATTTGAACTGCATGCCGGGCGACCGCTTGCGAGAACACTGTCACCGATTATCTCGCCGCCACCTAGCGGTCCCCGGCTCGAACTGAAGGCGCCCGAGGAGACGAAATCCTCCTCTCCTCCTCCACTTAACGCCTACATTTTCTTTACTCTACCTACCAACAATTTTTCTCCTTTATTTAATGAGAAACGAAATTAACCGCGTTAATTCAAATTTAGAAATGATTACCAGCATCGTTTCTCTGCCTTCTGTATTTCTCTGTCGGTTGTCGTTACCGAAATGGCATTAAATTTGAGCATTACGAGCATTCCATCCCTCCGCAACGATTCCATTACACTCGACCGATATCGTTGTAATGTTTTGTTCGTTCTCCGTTCTTCCGGAAGAAGGAATCGATGCGTTAAACGATCAACGAGGGGATAATTAGCCGACAAGCAAGGCATTCTGCCACGACGAGGAACGTTCGCGTTCACCGAGTTCGTTTCTATACGGATCGATGGACGATCCTCCCTTCGAGCACCGCCCTTTTTTCCTCGAGGGGGCGCGAAACTGCATAAAGTGCAACTATAAGAGAGTCTTCGCTTTTCTCTCTCAACTTTTTTCTTTCTTTTTTTTTTCGAACTGACACTTGGAGTGTTTGCGAGGTAGCAGTTTTTCACGACATCAGCACGTATCGTGCCCTCTCTTCGTTGGAGGAATTTATCGATTGATGCCCTAACATCCCTCGCGTGCGTGCACCCTCGTTGCTTTTGGTCCCTGTCTGTCTCTTTCACTGTATTCCTCCTGTTTCTTCTTTTTGTCACGCGCACAGCACTCTTTCTTTCCATTTATTCTTGTTTTCTTTTCCCTTTTTTTATTCTCTCGAACACCGTACATTACGTACACTCAGGGGTTGGAAAGAGTTACGATATTGATTTTGATTCTTTACCATCTTCTGAATTTTTTTCTTCTCTTCCACTTTGTCCTTTGATTTATTATTAAAATAAAATATTATTTTCTGATTTCTAGAATGATTTCTTATTTCAACCTGCCATTTCCTTGTTTTTCTGCTCTTTCCGTTAGCCCCGCTTCTCTTCCCCTTTCAATTTGTACTCATCTATTTATTCTCTTTCCTTCTTCGCCTCCCTCTCGTTCGATCCGCGACTGTTTCACTTTCTTTCTCCTTCTTCGAGCCACCCTCGATCTTCCTAGTTTTCCTCCATCATCCACCCCCCTCCGGCATAAGGGTGCGTTCGCACTAAACACTCGCGTCTGTGGAACCGGAAGGGGCTGGATAGAGGTTCTCTTACCCTCGGCATTTTATTGCGCCTCTGATCGTCGAGTGGCCGGGGAAACCGCGTAATTCA